AATGCTCACTTGCCAGGATGTACCACAACTTACGTGGCAATGCTAAATATGTGACAGAATGACACTCACCAAAAAGAAACAATATGGCTCCAAAAGAAACAATACTCCCAGAATACGGCTATTCTATTCATTCTGATAACTCAAATTATAGAGAAGAGTCACTGCCCAGAGAGATGACTTATATAAAAACAGAGATTCTTACCTGAACATGATCTTGAAAGGAGTTTTCCTCCATCACATAAAAAAAGGTTTCAATGTCCCAGTTACATACCAAAGACCCGCTAGAAAGAAACAGAGTCCCTGGGCAGGAAACGGTAAAGACAGCAATCTCTGAATAATACAAGAACTTAAACAATGTTGACAGCTAATGTGACACAAGAGTTTTTTTCTCTGAATTCAAACAGAAGCCCCTCGACCCCAGGGCTCCACTGAGCCTGGGATGTTATGTTTACAAGAAGCGGTACAGGGGCAACACACGGATCCACTTTGACAGAAAACATGTGGGCTTTCTTCTAAGGAAAGAGGAAGATGGGCAGAGACCGTAGGCAGAGTAAGAACTGTAGTGGGAGGGGCAGTTAACACTGGGAAACATGAAAGGGAGAAAAAGTCCCGGGGCCCTGGTTCAGGGTGGGTTAGGAATTCTCTTCTGTGTCAGCGCCATTATGGAATACCTGAAGCCCAAAATGAAAACAAGCAGTGTATGTTCGGACTTCTGTCTGGGTTCTGCTTTGAAAAGCATCTCAACTGGCTGGCTGTGAGAGAGAACTGAAGAGTGGAGGACATTTTCCTTCTTCCCTCTCCTGGATTTATCATTCAGTTCTAGAGCAAGCAGGGTCAAAGACCTCTCAGATTTAGGCATCTATCGGCCAAATGGAAGAATAGCCTACAAGAAACTGTAACAAATCACTCAAGGCAGGGGAAGGCAGGGGGGGAACAACTCATTTCTAGCCATGGTCTATACAGTCTAAGAAGTCTTTTTATAGAGATGATAGGATGAGTAATATCAAAAGCTTAGTAACTAATCGAGATAGTGAATTTGAATATTTTTAGAGATTCTATTGAATTGGGCAACAACGTCCTTATTTGGAAGCTTGAGACTCTATGGTGTTTTGTGAAATGATGAAAAATTATAAAAGACAGGAAATTTGACAAAGTATTATATAACAAGACCATGTAGTCATTGCTCAGAATTCTCTATTCCTGAACCAGACTGTCTAAGGAAAGGTGGAAAGTTGATTCTTGAGATCATACAGAATAAATGAAAAACCACAGAAATAATTTTAGAATCAACATTTTACTTGGTACTTATTACACAGTGAGATTAAAACCTTGGCGCTTTGAAGAAACAGAACTATATATATTAGATCTTAAAATTGTCTGGTCTCTCAACTTTCTAAAAAATATAGTATCACATGCCTCAACCTTAAAGAATTTTGAGCTATACACCTTGTCTTCACATCAAAGTGACCAAAGCAAAGACACAATGAAAGTTCAATCAATGTGGAGCACCCTGGATGGTTCAGTCAGTTGAGCATCCAACTTTTGATTTTGACTCAGGTCATGATCCCAGGGTCATAGGATCAAGCTCTGAGTTGGGCTCTACTCTCAGCATGGAGCCTGCTTAAGAGTCTCTCTCCCACTCCCTCTGTCCCTCCCCTGCTCACGCACTCTTTCTCTCAAATAAATAAATAAATCAAGTTGAAGCAATAGAAGTAACTACTTTTGACATCAATGCTATAATTTCAATATCCGTCACGGGTCGGTGACAAAGGTGAGAAGCTTTTAAAGGTGGGTCCCACCACGGTTTGAAAACTCAAGAATGACATCAGCACATTAACAATACAAAGGTTACACACAAGTTAAGAGCAGTAGGAAATTACTGCAGCAGCGATCTTATCAGTTATAGAAAATACATCCACAGGGATACTGTTAGAATGCACCAGGGAGTGTCAAACGTGACACTTTTCCAGGGGTGCCTGGGTGGCTCAGATGGTTAAGTGTCCGACTTCGGCTCAGGTCACGATCTCGCGGTTTGTGAGTTCTGGCCCCACTTTGGACTCTATGCTGACAGCTCAGAGCCTGGAGCCTGCTTTGGATTCTGTGTCTCCCTCTCTTCTCTGTCCCTCCCCTGCTCGTTCTCTCTCTCTCTCTCTCTCTCTCTTTCTCAAAAATAAACATTAAAAAATCTTTTTAAAAATGTGACACTTTTCTAGTTTCAAAAAAAAAAAGGGGGAAGAAAAGAAAAAAATGACAGAGGAGAAAAAATTCGTTCCAGATGAGCCTGGAAGGACTACATCACAGGTAACTCTGGGCAAATATCACACTAACCCACTATGTGAAATAAAACACTTTATTGACAAAAAGAAAACAAAGATTCTCACCTTCTTTGCTTGGTGTAAGGGGGTGTAAAGGATCACCTGCCTGGAATGTCCTAGAGGAAAGAGCTAACTTGAGGCACTGAAAAATATGCCTGCTAAAAATGAGCCATATGGCCTAGCACAATGTTTTCCGAAGTGTGGTCCACGTGTACATGACATTATTTTCTACGAGGACACGGACAAGTTAATGTGTGCGTACATATGATCTTCTATTTATGGCTGGTGATACTGATTTTCCATTTCTGGTAGCAATTTTTTTTTTTTAAGTTTCTTTATTTTGAGAGAGAGAGAGAGAGAAAAAGAGAGAGAGAGAGAGAGAGAGAGAGAGCGAGCGAGCAGGTGAGGGGACACACAGAGAGGGAGAGAGAGAATCCCAAGCAGGCTCTGCAATGTCAGCGTGGGGCCCGATACGGGGATCAATCTCACGAGCCCGAAGATCATGACCTGAGCTGAAACCGAGTCGGACGCTTAACCGACTGAGCCACCCAGGAACTCCACAATGTTTGTTTTTCATATAAAAAGTGATTCTGCTTAAGCACCAATCAGAGGCCCTCCACGAACTGCAAGCAGTGAGGGAGGTGACTGATTTCCCTAACTTTGGTGAAAGTTCAGAGATTTATTCTTTGGCCTAATCTCTACACTAAGGAAGACCAACCGTGGGTGATACCATGTGAAAAAAAGAAGGATTAAGTGAATCGGGGCAAGAAATACCCAACTCTCGTCCCCTACTCAGCTTTCAGGAAGCCAAGTTTATGCTCCAGGGAAGAAGCTGGAGAAGTCTTCTTTAAAAATATGACAACCCGAAAAGAAAAAAAAAAAAAAGACAACCCAAGAGGAAAAACAAAGAACATCAGACGGTCCCCAGTTAAAAAGCCCAGTCAAATGACCCTGTATTGAAGTTAACAAGACCCACTCATGCATTCAAATCAGCTGTTTACCCTCATGCTTTTAAATATGGATAAACACCCAAAGATTAGCAGACATCTGAGAAAAGCCTCAAAAATAAAAGATAAAAAAAAAAAACCTCACAAAACAAAAAACAAAGTAGTGTGAAGGAAACGGATTCTAAAGGAAAAACTTCCAACAAGTTTTAAAAAGTTAATAATTTCAGAGAAAAAAAAAAAGATACCATAAATCAGGAAATACAACATGATGTTATAAAAAGGAACATACAGATGGGGTGCCTGGATGGCTCAGTTGGTTGGGCGTCCAAGTCGGCTCGGGTCATGATCTCATGGTTCGTGGGTTCAAGCCCCATGTTGGGCTCTGTGCTGACAGCTCAGAGCCTGGAGCCTGCTTTCAGATTCTGTGTCTCTGTCTCTCTACCCCTCCACCACTCGACTCTCTCTATCTCTTTCAATAATGAATAGACATTTTAAAAAAATAAAAAAGGAACATAGAGGAAAAAAAATTTTTTAACATTTTCTTTTTTTCAATTTCTTTTGTAGTGTTTATTTGTTTTTGAGAAAGAAAGAGACAGAGAGCGAGTGGGGGAAGGGCAGAGAGAGGGAGACACAGAATCTGAAGCAGGCTCCAGGCTCTGAGCTATCAGCACAGAGCCTAATGCAGGGCTCAAACTCACAGACCACCAGATCATGACCTGAGCCAAGGTCACACGCTTAAGCGACTGAGCTACCCAGGCGCCCCCGGGAAAATGTTTCAAAAGCTGCTTCTTGGTGACAGCACTCTCCCTGTCCATCACACTTCTACCTCCTGAAAAGAATTCTACCTTAATCTGTCTGTCATTTAGGAAAATACATCCCTTTCCCTAGTTACTTTTTTGGTAATTGTAAGAGCAACATTTGCTCAAGTTTTGCTCCTTGATACTAAGAAATTACAGGCAAATCTCAAGTCTCAAGAGAATGCTTGATACGATCTTTCTCATTTAATTTCTCACTACTCTTTGGAAGAGATGACAGGCCAAGGTGTTCACCATCCACATGACAGAACTATTATCCGGCATGAAGAGCATTTACCTCGTCAGTATCTTCCCGAAACAGACCGAGTGTCCTGGGTCTGAATAAGCTCCGTAGTAAACGTGTGATGATGAATTCATTCCCAATTCTTTACGTGGGATGAGTCAGATCTCCAGACCTTTAAGATCATTTAATTTTCATTCCACGCTATTTTTTCAGTCGCCGTAATACTCGGACCTTTCCCAAAACATCACAAAGGTGAAATCCTTGCCTGTAAGGTACGCACAACCCCTCCATTAACTACCGCTTACTGGGAGCCAATTATATGAAACCGTGATGGCTGATATTTCGGTAAGAGAGAAAAAGGGTGTTGTGATAAAGAACAAGAGAGGGGAGAAGAGAGGGAGGATGGTCAAGTCAGAAAGCAGTGTTTTCTTTAGGAGTTAAGAGAGAGACTCTTTCAGGAGAGGGATTTATACAGTTGGGCTCCTTTTCTTTGTGTCCAAATAGCCCCACACGGAGAGAATCTGCCACATCCAGGAAAGGCTCAAGAAACATTTGCTGCATGAATCTAAGAACGGAACCAAATCAATCTTAGCACCCACAGGACTAGCAAGTGTAGTCTAAATCCCCTTTGGACACAGCTGCGTGGGAGAGTCAACACAAGGAGAGGCACAGCATTTCTCTGCGAACAGCAGCTCCTTACCTGTTGTTGTACCGGTACCTGCTGCACCACCTGGGTAGGTACCGCTGCTTGACTAGCCACAGATGTCTGTAAAGTCACTGTCGAACCTGTGTCCGACCCGGTCTCTGATGTCTGCATGATGGTCTCTGAAATACAGTATCAGAAAGAAAGTTTTAAGTGCTCTCCTTGCATGATTAGCTACATTACATTTGTTCTAAAATTCCTATACTGAGGGGCGCCTGGATGGCTCAGTTGGATGAGGGTCCGACTTTGGCTCAAGTCGTGATCTCGCGGTCCGTGAGTTTGAGCCCCGCGTCGGGCTCTGTGCTGACCACTCAGAGCCTGGAGCCTGCTTCAGAATCTGTGTCTCCCTCTCCCTCTGTCCCTCCCCTACTCATGCTCTGTCTGTCTGTCTCTCTCTCTCTCAAAAATAAACATGAGGAAAAAAACCTATACTTAGAGTAACTTTCAACTCTCAGAATATTTCTTACCCCAACATACTGCCATGATATTCCAGGCAGCTTTATAGTCATTCTGTTCACTTTTTAAGTCTACACAGAAAATTACCAATTCACATTAAAAAAAAAAAAATCCCCATTTACACTTCTTATTTTGAGGCTATAAAAGTTGAACTTCATTGAAATCTACCTTCCTTCGGTCTCATCTGTTAATAAAAGTTTCAATCATATTATAAACTGGAGACCAAAATTATTTTAAGATTCTCAATTTTCAGAACACAAACCCTAGCTGGATGCAAGTATGTCATAAAATTTTATTTTCTAGACACTTTTAGAGGCCATTAGCATGTCCCCCAAAGGTGTACAATTCAGAATACATTATTCCTAACATCCTTTCCAACTTTCAAACTTACTATGCAGTGATCTAAAAAATTAATAATAATAATAATGTATATCCAAAACTTAACCAAAGGATCAAGCTCACTAATTTGCTCTGACTGTGGTATACTGTACTAAAATCAACCTTGATTTTACCCAGAGATAGCCAAACATCAACAACGTTTAGTATTTTGGACATGGGGAGGACCGCTATTACGTAAATGAGGCTGGTAAGCAAGACACGAAATTTTAGCTTCTCTCATTCACAGTTCAGCATGGCACATTTTTAAAGTTCGTATGTGCCTGATCTAGCTACACAGGTTAAATTTTGCAGTGTGTAATGTAACAGGTATGGTTTCTAAGACCTCCTGGTCTCAACATTCCCTTTTGCTACTTATAGAGTTAATGAAATAAATATTAATCTGTTACTGAGCAGGGACCAGAATTCTAATATTCTTTCCTGAGGGGCTGGGGGAACAATATTTAATTGGTAATTTAAGAAAAATACTGCACTGTGGTTTAAATCTGTGAACAGCAGGGTGAACATTAATTTACCCCAAGAAAATTCAAAAAGAGCATCCAGTTCTTTCAAGTAGAAAATTAAGCCCCAGGGGTGCCTGGGTGGCTCAGTTGGTTAAGCGTCCAACTTCGGCTCAGGTCATGATCTCATGGTTCGAGGGTTCGAGCCCTGCATCGGGCTCTGTGCTGACAGCTCAGAACCTGGAGCTGCTTCAGATTCTCTGTCTCCCTCTCTCCCTGCCCCTGCCCTGCCTGCACTCTGTCTCCCTCTCAAAAATAAACATTTTTTAAAATTAAATAGAAAAAAGAAAGAAAATTAAGCCCCTTACCATCTTTTGTCAACGCGTCCCCTCTCTTCCAATGTTTCCCCCAAACCTTTTCTATCATCTCATTCAATTTTAGAAATGGACCTCTGAAGACATCTAATCTACTCTTCTCATTTTATAATGAGGACACTGAAACCCAGAGAGGTTAAGAGACTCACTCAAGGGGACAGGAACAGATGTGAGGCGAGGCCTTTTTGCTTTGAATCCATGCTTATTTTTCTTTCCTAGACCTTGACATTGGCATCTCTTTAGGTGATTTGCTTACTGTTTTGTTAGCCAAGGCCCTCAAGCGGCACAATAAACCTTACCACTGCAACAGATACGGCAATGACAGCTAACACCGATTACATGTTCAACCTATGCTAAGGACTCTTCCAAATGCTCTACGTGTTAATTTATAAGTAAATTAATCCATGTAACACCCAGGTGTGACTGGTAGGATTATAATCTCCATTTACAGATGAGGGACCTCGGGCATACAGAGGGAAGGTGGGTAGGAGCTTAAAAAACAAAGGGAAAGTGATACAGACTGTGGCTACCACATCATGTACTTGGGTCGGCTCTTCACGCTCAGCTCCAAGACGTTGAGAATTTGTGGGAAGTCTCCCAATTATCCCAGAGAAAAAAGCTGGAAGTTCAGATTTTTATGTGAGATCTTCCAAATGGTGGCTCATTTAAAAAAAAAAAAATCTAGCATTCATCTCCAAGCAAACACACACACACACACACACACACACACACACACACACACACACATCCCTCTGGGCTACCATTAAGATCATGGATATGCCTGAAATTGAGAATGACAGTATTCACCACACAAAGTTCTTGCCTAAGTAAGATGACTGGAGGACCCTTGGTCGTCAAAATTTGGGGAAGGGATACACATGAGGAATCCTATCTGTATCTCTTCCTTTATTCCATCACAGAGGGGGGAAAATGCCCTCCCAAAAAGGAAAGCGAAACTCAACGTCCTTTGATTCACTACATGCTTATAGGCCATCAATCCCTTTTGTGCTACAGCAGAAGGGCTGTGAGTGAGGGGAGATGTCTTTCCGCAGAGAATGAGGAAGGAACCAGATGTTGCTTACCGCGTCTTTAGTGAGGTTTCCTTAGCCTCTCTAACTAATGCCAACCTAGGTGGAGGCCTCGGTCCGTTTAGTATACAAATGAAGAAAACAGAGTTGCCAATTATGTCCAATCAAAGGTGGGTGTTTCTTAGAGTGTAGTCACTCACCTAAAACTCCCTCCTATTTCTCCCAGTGCTGGCTGGGAATTTCCTCGAGGCTTTCTCGTGTGCCCATACGTTGTAATGCAGACCAGCCTACACACCCATTTTAGGCTACGACCCAACCTTGACATCGACTATTTTAGACCTAACATATGCAACAATAAAAAGAAAGATCTCTTTAAAAATTAAATATATTTTTAAAGCAATTCCTAAGAATTCTCCATAAACCACATGAGAAAGCTTATCAGAAGATAAAGGGCATAGATCTGAAAACTGGCTTCTCAAGACTATATTATATTAGACTCCACAGACAGGCTTTGGTTCAGAGTAACTACAAATTAAAATTCTTAATTGCCAATATTTAAATATCAGAAATCTGTGGTAAAAACCAAATTTCCAGATACAAAAAAAATGTGAAGATTTAGAAAAGGTGAGCGTACAGTGTATGTTTTATAGGCAAATTATTTAAATGGAAATACTCCTTCACTTGCCTGGCCTCTATAGGCATTTGAGTTCATGACACTTTTTGCGGTAACCAGAAATTCAGTCTTACCAATCCAGATTGAAAATGGAGAATTATTTTTTGGGTTTGAGACCATCTTAATAACATTTAAACTCATTCACTTCTTTTATACAGAATAGAAATACCCAGGTTTGACCACTTTACCAACAAAAATGCGCAACCAGATGATTGGAACTAATATTTTCCCCATTTTACAGACGAGTCAACAGGAGACTCACAGACGTTAAGTCACTTAACCAAGGTCAAGCAGCTGGAGGTAGGAAAGGAGGGTTTGGACCTCCCACTGAAGTTCACGCACTAGACGACTAGACCAAGTGGAGAGTCCTGAAACGCACAGATAGAAGGGAGTAAAAGAAAATAATGCAAACTGGGGAGATTTTCAGAATGAGAAAGAAGGAAAAGGTCCCAACTACTTTATAGGAGCAACCTTTGCAGAACAGACTGGGGAAAAAAAATGGATAGAAAATGATGGCTTTATAACCTCAGGTTAGAAAGTCACGACGAGCTTTCCATCCGGCCTCTGGCTCTACGCATATGCCACGTCAAAACCGGCACATAAAGTCCCATCCCGGACAACAAACGGCTGCCCCGGAACATCATCTGTTTACTCCTGAGTGGCTGATCCCCATCCTGTCTCACCGGCTCTTGGATCATAAAGGGTCATGCCAACTGATAAGAACTTAGTTTCTCCATCTTTCCTTGAAAGACACAACTTCATTCTCCTTTAATGGCATTGTCTTCCTCGGTTTTGTTTTGTTTTTTTAATTTTTTTTTTCAACGTTTATTTATTTTTGGGACAGAGAGAGACAGAGCATGAACAGGGGAGGGGCAGAGAGAGAGGGAGACACAGAATCGGAAACAGGCTCCAGGCTCTGAGCCGTCAGCCCAGAGCCCGACGCGGGGCTCGAACTCACGGACCGCGAGATCGAGACCTGGCTGAAGTCGGACGCTTAACCGACTGCGCCACCCTGGCGCCCCTGTCTTCCTCGGTTTTGAGGAAGAGGCTTTCTTTGCCAAAGCCTCATGGCTTGAGACGGTCTCAGTCACATCCGTGGCAGAGACTGGCTCAAAAACTCATGACCATAATTAGGTCTCTCGGCTAACAAGTATCTCCCAGGTGCCACACATTATGCTGACTGCTTGAAATACTTCTCATTTAATCCTCTTAGGACTCCCATAATGGAAGCGTTCTTATTTCCACTTTAAAAATAAGGCAACTGAGGCACAAATGTACTCAATAACTTGCTGAAAGCCACAGAGCTAGTAAGGGGAAGAGCCTGAATTCAACCCCAGGTTTATCGGACTCCAAAGCCCGCGATGTCACTCTGGCTAGTACTTTGCAATATCATGATGATAAGGCTTCCAAATGAAAAGCTAGAGACTATTATTGATCTGAACAGCAAAGTCTTTGGGATTCTCAACCCACTGTATTTCATCTACACTTCCAGTAACAACGGACAGACATCCCTTCTCTCTCCGACATCAAAATTAGGAAGTATTCTCTCTCTTTCTGCTGAGGCCATAATAAAACCTAACTAGTAAGTATTTTTCCAGAGGCATTTTAACGGATTAATTCTGAAGACCTGACTTAACAGCAGATCAATTAGAATGTTAAAGCATGTTCGAGGAGTATAACCCTCCTGCCAAATTTTGCTAAACAGATCATTTAAACCCACCGACGCATTCAGAGTATTCTGGTAGCTTTCCAACA